GAGCATGCCAGCGAGTGAGGGCAGAATCATGGAGGCAGAAGAGCGAGAGAGAGAGCTAAAGAACCACAGAGAGATCACGCACATGCGGAAGAGAGAAGGCAGACAAGACAGAGATGAGACACTGAGGGAGGCAGAGAGAGCCTTTGCTCTCCAATCTCAGTCTCTCCACCCTGAGGCAGAAGCCTTAGGGTGTACACGCGCGTGTTTGTGTGTGAGCACGTATGTGTGCGTACATACCTTTGTGCACGCGTCCATGTTGACTCTCCTGCAGTGTAGTTATGACTAAGTGTGGGGTGGGCAGGATGCAGGTGGGGGCTTGCAGGTTACCAGTCTCAGCTGTAGGGCAGTAGGAATGGTGGTCAGGATCACACTGAAAGCCAAGTCACAAACATACGCTGGAACTGTGCAGATGTTTACACCAGGGAATGAGCAGGCCTCTTCCTCCAGGGCTGGAGGTCAGGGAAGGCACTGGGAGGGGCTGATTAGGGAGCAGAACCAGCCTAGGCAAGACGAGGGAACACACATCCTCCCAGGCAGAGGGAAGAACAGCAGCAAAAGTCCCAAGCAGAAACCCATGGAGTGGTGATTACAGGGTGGAGATTTGGGGGTTTTCGTGAGGACTAGAAAACGACTGATAGGATTTGGGAAAAGGTCTTCTGGACAGGCAGCAGGCAGGGCAGTCAGAAGCTCTCGTAACAGTCCTGTAAAAAGAAAGACTTCCACAAAAGGGCTGGTACTGGAAGTAAGGAGAAATAGATGAATGTTGCCTGTGGTTTGGGGAATAGGGAGGACAGGATTGAATGGGGGAGGTTGTGAAGAGGAAGACACCAAGCTTAGGTTTGCACTCTGAGCATCTGGATGAATTCTGGTGGTGTTTACCAGGAGGAGGAAGCCCGGGAGGAGCAGACCTGTGACAAGTCATCTATCATGTGGGATGTCTGTGCATATGTGTGTGGTTTGTGTGTGTGTGTGTGTGTATGTGTGTGTGTGTGTGTGTGTGTGTGTGTGTGCATGTGCGTGCACGCACACCTATGCAAGCCCCTTCATGTGTGCATGTGCAGCCCAGGACCCTCATGCCACCTTAAAACACCTCTGCTTGGATGTGTGGGAGCCCCTAGATCTGTCCTGGAACCAGGCTCTCCCTTGGCACTTTACCCTTGCCTGGTCCCAAGGACTGCCCCTGGCAGATGGGGGTTTCCAGCGGCCAGCTGGGGCAATGGGAGGGCCCGTGAGCATCGCCAACATCTGGGCCTATTACCCCAGGCCCAGGAGGCCTCGGTAGCCCCACCCGGCAGCGGCAGGCAGGCTCCAGGGCAGCTGGTGGAGATTAGCGGCACTGATTACCTCGTGGCGATGCCATCTGGGGTGAGGGCATGGAGCCCGGCCCCACGGGATACCCCGCTTGCTGGTGTGCGGGGCTTTCTGGGGCCCGAGTGCGTGTAAAGTGTGTCAGCCTAGCTGCATGTATGTATATTTGCATGTCTGAGTGAATCCATGTGGCTGCCTGTGTCTATGTGCACACATGTGCAAGAAATCTGCAGGCAGCTCTGCTTGCCTATTTAAATAACTATGCCTGTGGGTACATGTCTGTGTTTCTAGGTCTATGTGTGCATACATGTCTGTGTGCTCCTGCCTGTGACTGTGTATGCACATTAAAGTCCATGTGGTGCCTTATTTGTGCCTTCCTTCCTTCTTTCTTCCTTCCTTTTTTTTTGGGGGGGGGGGGTCCGGTCATGGGGCCTGAACTCTGGGCCTGGGTGCTATCCCTCAGCTCTTTAGCTCAAGGCTAGCGCTCTACCACTTGAGCCACAGCGCCACTTCCGGTTTTTTTCTTTTTGCTTATGTGGTGCTGAGGAATCGAACCCAGGGCCTCATGCATGCAAGGCAAGCAAGCGCTCTACCACTGAGCCACATTCCCAGCCTCTTTCCTTCCTTTTTCCTTCCTTCCTTCCTTCCTTCCTTTTTCTTCTTTTCTTTTTTTCCCCCCTGGTACTGAAGAGTAAACATCAGGTCTCATGGGCTAGTACTCTATCCCCAAGCTAACATCCCCAGTCCTTTTTTGATTCTGAGGCAGGGTCTTGTTAGGGTGCCCAGATTGGTCTCAAGCTTGCAGTTCTCCTCTTCAGCAGTAGCTGAGATTAAAGGCATACCCCATCACATCTGTTGCTGCGTATTCTGAGAATTACACACCTGAGTACGCCCAGAAAAAAAGTCTCCAGGGATTCCCTGGTCTCCTACATGTGTCTTTCTGTATCTGTTTGGTGCTGTGTGTGTACACAGCATGTGTGTTAATACATGTACATGGAGTGTGCACCCCCAAGTGCTATGTGAAAACACACTGGGTTAGGTGCACATATGTGTCACAGGAGGAAGGAACATGGTACATTTCTAGACTGTCTATGATGAGGGATCCAGGCCGAGGGCGTGTCCTGGGATCTCTGAGCACTCTTGGGGTGCTCTAGGAGGCCTCTGGACTCCCCCTTCTCAGGTTTCCATGTCCCTGGCTCTGGAAGCTCTGGCCCAGCCACACCTATTACTGGGGCTGGAGTGGAGGAAGAGTGGGGATAGTCAGGATGTCCAGCCTCACTGGACATGGCTCTCTGCTCCAGTGCCTGTGGGCTGAGATGCTGAGAAGCAGTTGGTACTATTTCAAGGCTTTTCATCGGCAAGATGGGGTAAGTGGAGAACGTTGCTTCATAGACTGGAGGCTCCCACCAGTAATCCCAGCTACACAGGAGGCTGAGATCTGAGGATCGAGGTTCAGAGCCAGCTCACGCAGGAAGGTCTGTGAGACTCTTGTCTTCAAGTAATCACCAAAAAGCAGAAGTAGAGCTGTAGCTCAAGTGGCAGAATGCTGGCCTTGAGCAAAAGAAGCTTAGGGACAATGCCTAGGTCCTGAGTTCAAGCTCAAGCATAGAAAAAAAAAAAAAGATGAAAGGAAGCCCTGCTCTGGTGGCTCATGCCTGTAATCCTAGCTACTGAGTGGGCTGAAATCTGAGGATTGTGGTTCCAAGCCAGCCTGGGCCAGGAAAGTCTGTGAGACTCATCTCCAATTCACCACCATTAAGTCAGAAGTAGGGCTGAGGCTGAGGTGGTAGAGGGCCGGCCTTGAGCGAAAAAACCAAAAAAAGCATAAGGCCCTGAGTTCAAGCCCCAGTATCAGACCAAAAGAAAAAACAAAGATGAAAAGAGTTAGAATATGTGGAATTCTTAGAGCCTGACCTGTGTGCGTGCCCAGTACTGGGAGCATATGCATGGGCGAGCTGTCCTCTGTCTGGCCATCCCTCCCACCAAAGCCTCCAAACCCCACCCCTTGCCTTGCTGCCTGCTGAGCTCAGCACTTTGCAGGCCCCACCGCTGCCACCACCACATCTGGGCCCAGCTCAGTGCAGGGACCACAGGGGGGGGGGGGTGCCTACACAGTGTGGTGGGGATTTCCACTGACTCAGCACCTCTGGAGTTGGAGGAGGGAAACCTCAGGGCTGTCCTTCTGCCTCGGTTAGATGGGGCCACAGCCACCCCTTCCCCCAAACCAAGGCACTCCTGTTGCTGCTTGTCTTTTAGCCCCAGACCTAATCTAACATGCATGGGCCACTGAAATCCACTTCTTCATGGTTCCCCAGCCTTTGGGCCAAGAATTGGTGGTTGACTCCAGGAAGAAACCTTTGTGGGTTGAGGATGGAGGAAGGCCCACCTGGACAACCTTCCCTGTGCCTTGATAGAACTGGAAACACTACCTGCCCCCGAGTCCTCCCAAGAACCATCTTTTCCTGCCTTTCTTTTTTTTGGTGAGGAGCATTCACTGCGGAGTCCAGAGTCCAGACTGGCCTCAAATTTGCCATCCTCCTGCCTCAGCCTCCCAAGTGTTGTAGTTACAGGTGTGTACCAACCTCAGTTTCTTTCTTTTCTCTGGGCCCTGAATATAAAGCAAAATCCCTCCCAGGAACTGGAGATGAAGTCAACTTCCATCCCCCCCATCCCACCCTGGCCCGGGCCAAGGATTCCCAATATTGATGAAAATAGCAGCACACACTTCTCCTCCGTGCGCCGGAGCATGTATAAAGCACTTTTACAGACTCGAACTCCTTTCCTTAGGCAAAGCCACGCAGGGCAGATACGACAATCATTCCATCCTGCAGATAAAAAATCGCCACAGTTAGAGCAGGAGGCAGGGTTGCAGCAGCCTTGCTCACTCCTGGAGTAAGGAGGAATGGGAGAAATCCTGGGTTCCACTTCTCTGGGATTGAGACCAGAACAGATGTGTGTGTGTGTGTGTGTGTGTGTGTGTGTGTGTGTAAGGGGGGCCTCCAATTGCCCCCCCCCCCCCCCCCCCCCAGTGCAGACAGAGACAGACGGCTGCCTGGGAATTCTAGGCCCAGAAACTGGAAAAAGCTGACCACTGAGGCTTGGGCTCCAGCCACGTCACGGGTTCCATGGATCTTAGGGTCTCCACCCCCTCCCCATCAGACTTTCTGGGGGCCTGACCAAAGAAGGAGAACCGGGGTGGTCCCAGAGGAGGCCCTCCGAACTCCAGGCCTCCCGCCTGCCCTCTGCAGGCGCCGTGGCAGGGCAGCTCGGGGCACGCCGGGCCCCGCCCGCCGCCCGCCGCCCTCTCCGGGCTCACCTGGCGCGGAGGTAGGCGGGGCCGGCCCCCGGCGCCCCGCCAGGCCGGGAGCACGGCGGGATCCGCGCGCCCCGCGGCCCGCGCCCGGCCGCCGCCGCCCCTCCGGCCGCCTCCTCCTCCTCCTCCCCGCGGCCTGGCGGGCCGGCCCAGCTGTGTTCCATTACCGCCCTGGCAGCCCCCCAGCCCCCTGGAACCGCCCCTCTCCCCCCGCACTCGGAGCGGCCGGCAGTCGCGCGCGCGGGGCGCACTCGGCCCGAGGAGCTCCGGGCGCCAGGAAGCAGGGGGAATCGCGGCTGGCAGCGGGAGACCGAGGACCCCCAGGGGGCCAGTGGTACCCAGGCCCTGCTTCCTCTGTCTGTCCGGTCTGGGGCAGCCTGGATTGCTCAGGGAGGTCAGCAGCTACCCAGCCGCCGGTAAGTGGGCACGGACTGGGCTGCCTCCTTGGTTGGGCTGAAAGGGCCCTTTCTACCCAGCTTGCTGTGTGACCTGGGCCTGTGGCATCCCTTCTCTGAGCCTCAGTCTTAGTTTTTCTGCTTCTTTTCTTTCCTCTAAATCAGGACGGGCCCTAAATTCCATCCTGGTTCTGTTCTTCTCCTGGCCCTCTAACTGTGCTTGTGTTAGGTGGGAAAACTATCTGGAAGCATCCTTACTCTCTCCATGTAACCCCTCACTCGGAGTGGGGGGTGGGGGTGGGAGGGGTGGAGTGGAGACCAGAAGTGGGGAACCGGAAGGGAACATGAGCACATGCACGTGCACGCCTCCACATGCACCCACGTAGGGCCCGTGGGCCGGCAGCCCTTCCATTGGCTGGCAGGATGGCAGCCTGGGTAGAGTCTGAGCGGTACAATGTGTGCACCCTAGGCTGGAGGATGGATAGGGTGAGGGCACAGTTCCATCCCAGGGGGAGGGAAGTTGGAGTCTTAACTCCCCAATATATTGGGGTGAAGGGGTCTTTTCTATTCTCATGTCAGAACTACGGAAGGGAAAGTAGGATTCCATTGGAATGAATGAGGTCAGACTTGCATAAGAACTTCCCAACAGGAAGGCCTCCTGGAGGTGGTCATAGGCTGCCTGGGTGTATGTGTGTATGTGTGAACTGGTGTGTCTGTGAGCATGTCAGTGTACAGGTGAGTTTGTACGCCTGTGCTGGTATGTGTGCATGTGTGTGGAACTCTCTCTGTCTCACACACACACACATGCCTGACTGTGTGCTCATGAGCTGCCTGTCCTGGGGAGAGAACAGATGATATATGGCTCTGCTGGCTGCTTGCTGAGCTTGCATTGATTTATCTGGGCCCATCCATCAGGGTTTAATAAAACTAAAAGACGAGCATCCATCAGCGGAAGAGTTTGGCAATGAGGTCGTGAGCCCCAGTGACCTGCTCTCCTGCCCACTGTCCCCACAGGGGAGGCTGCGTTGGCCCTCACACAGCCCCATGATACCTGCCAGGAGACTCAGCCCCGGCTTTATCCCCTGACCTTGCGGGTGCCTGGCAGGGCTGCCTGCCCCAAGCCAGCATACCTTGCCAGGTACCAGCCTGCTATATGCCAGCACGGTTGTTCCAAGTATTGGGATTCTTCCAAATGTTTTGATCAATAGCCTCTGCCTTCAGACCCCTCACTGTCCCAACTTCTGTAGTCTTCTAGAACCTTCTAGATCTTTTCCTCAACCCACTGGCACAGCTAGAGGCCTGTAATAGTACTCCAGCCAGCATTCTGCTCTGGCTGGTGAATGTCTGTGCCATACTGGTGGTTAAATATTTTGATTCTCACCACTGGCCAGATCCAAGCCCCAGACTTGTGTTGGGCCCCTGAAAGGGATTAAGAGCTCTTCCTACTCCAGTCCCAGTGCCCAGGCCCCCAGCTGGTGCTGTTGGCACTTATGCATGCATGGATTCAGCAGCTCACTTTCCCGGTCTCTGGTTTTCAGGTGCTGTGGCTGTGGCTGACCCCTCTGAGCCAGTATGTGGGTATCCTGGGCTCCTGGCCTGTGGCTGCTCAGTCTCTGGGCCACTTTCATCCATAGGATAAATGCAGGTAAGATGACACGGGGGTCAGGGTACCACAAGCCTGCAACTAGCCCCCTGAAGTACCGGGCATTTGCATGTATGTAATCATGCATGTGCTGATCATGTAAGCATTAGTGGGAGAGTCTAGGGGCTGGACTCAGATGGTGTGTTTGCACACAAGCAAGCAAGCTGAAAAGTTGTGTGTGTGTGTGTGTGGTTGTGTTTCTGAGCACTGCTCAGTACAAAAGCCACCTTTCAAACTTTGCTGGGGCTGGTGGGCGAGGAGGAAGAGGCTCCGTGCCCCCCTGCAGAAGGCAGCCTGAGCCCTTTGGCGCCTTCTCCTGGTGAACTCCGTCTCTAGTCTAGGCCAATGTTCCTCCTCCATACCGGCCAGGAATGAAGGGCCCGCCCCAAGGCCCAGACTCTGGATAGAGAGAGCAAAGCTTTCCAGGGCCTAAAGCCAGGGGAAGTCAACTGGGCAACCTGCCCAGCCTTGCTGGGTGCCCTCTAGGCTTAGTAGCTCTGCCGCCTAGCTAGGCAGGAGCAGAACGCCCAGCACCCAAATTCAGCCAGGCAATGGAGGCAGAAAAACAGAGGTGGTGAACAGGGCGAGAGGGTCTGTGGCAAGGGGTGGAGATGGGATGTGTGACAGCCAGCAATTTCCATCTGTACACACACACACACACACACACACACACACACACACACACACGTGTGGTTTTACGTGCGTGTATGGGGGAGTTTTGCACTCCTCTCCTTCATCAGATCCCTGGGGGGGTTGGGGCAGAGGATTTCAACATCTGTGAGGAATCTAGGCCCAGTGCCAAGGGGTGAGTCACCCATTGCTGCTGCGATGCTGAAGACAGTGATGGTCTTTCCGGCCAGACCTGGAGGAGGGAGACTCCAGGGGGGTCACCACCGTGCTCAGGGATCTTCTTCCAGCCAGGCCAGCTCTTAGGAGCCTACTTCATTGTCTTGTCTCACCTTCCCCATCTGCCTTGCTGGGAAGGCCTTTTTAGTTGTTGTTGGTGGTGGTCATAGGGTTTGACCTCAGGGCCTAGGCGCTGTCCCTGAGCTCTTTTGCTCAAGGCTTGTGCTCTATCACTTGAGCTACAGTGCCACTTCTGGTTTTCTGGTGGGTAACTGGAGATTAGAGTCTCAGGGAGTTTCCTGCTCAGGCTGGCTTCCAACTGTGATCCTCAGATATCAGCCTCCTAAATACCTAGGATTACAGGTGTGAGCCACCAGTGCCCAGCTGAGAAGGCCTTTTTTTGAGTCTACCCTCTTTCTCTCCAGTGTAATACCTCCACCAACACTAAGTCAGCTCCAGGGAGAAGGAGGAGGCCCCTGGCTGCCAACTTGTCCCTTTGGGGCTTTAGAGACCTACATTAAATGCTCTCCAGGATTCCTTACCTCTTTAATATGCCCTGTTTGGAACCCAAGGCCCTGGTTGTGCTTGTGGTCCCTGTAGCCTCTCAGTCTCTTCTTCCTGTTTCTCTAGATGGTATCCAGGGGAAAAGTTACTCTGTTAGCTGAGACTTGTGTCTGGCCTGCTTGTCTGCCTTGAATGTGGGAAGTGAAGCCCCACCCATTGCTGAGAACACATGTGCCAGCCGCACATGGCATCTCTGGTGGCATGGCTATGCACGGCTCACACATGTGCATGCACAGCTCACACATGTGCAGACGTGGACGTGCAATTACCCAGGACGTAGGAGTGTACATGAACTTGACATTTCCTCCCTGTTGCAGTGCTCCCCTGTCCCCCACCTGGGTGTATGTCAATTAGGAAGCATGTGCATATCCATGGCCTAGTATATGTGCCCTGGGGCTTCTGGGGTTTCTCTCATCCCTCCCTTGCTGGGGGTCCTTCTGGCTCCCTGTGCAGCCAGGGTCAGAAGGTGAGAGCACTCATAGCCAGCCTGGCCTAAAGGTCCACAGTGTGGACTATGAACTTGTTCCTCTCCGGGTTCCCCAGGACCCAGCTGGGTAGCTGTGTCAACTGAGCCCCTAATGCTTCTTCACTGACTGTGTTCCAGGTGAACAGTGCCCACCATCCCAGCCCGAAGGCCTCAAGCTGGAGCACAGCAGTGACCTGTCAGCCAACGTGACGGGTGAGGACCTCTCCTCACGCTGTCCCTCTGCCCTTTCCCTGGAGTGGCCCAGGTCCCTCCTTACCTGCCCAGCTCAGCCCTTCATCTAGTGTCTCCCCCAAAAGGCTTCAACCTCATCCGCCGACTCAACCTCATGAAGACATCTGCCATCAAGAAGATCCGCAACCCCAAGGGTCCCCTCATCCTGCGGCTAGGGGCAGCCTCTGTGACCCAGCCCACACGGTACGGGGACTGCCAGGAATGGGCGCTGACCTCATCCACACCTTGTCAGCTCCAGATTGGGGGGGGGGAGTATCTGTCTCTCTCCCCCTGCCTGTCTGTGTGCCCATCTTTTATTCAGCGTCTTCTCTTCTGCACCAGGTCCATAATTTACCCCTTGGAAGCCCTCACCAAAATTAATTAGTCAGTTTATTTATTTATTTATGCCTGTCCTGGGCCTTGAACTCTGGGCCTGGGCACTGTCCCTAAGCTCCTTTTACTCAGAGCTGGTGCTCTACCACTTGAGCCACAAGCACCACTTCTGGCTTCTTCTGTGATAAATTGGAGATAAGAGTCTCTTGGACTTTCTTGCCTGGGCTGGCTTTGAACCGCAATCCTCAGATCTCAGCCTCATGAGTAGCTAGGATTACAGTCGTGAGCAACCAGTTCCCGGCTCTTCACCAAAATTTAATGTAGTGCAAATAGTCATTCCAAGGATTTGTGTGTGTGTGTGTGTGTGTGTGTGTGTGTGTGTGTGTGTGTGTGTGTGTGTGTGTGTGTGTGTGTGCGCCAGTACTAGGGCTTGAATTTAGGATCTGGGTACTGTCCCTTAGCTTTTTCATTCAAGGCTGGTACTCTACCACTTGAGCCACAGCTCCATTTTGGGCTTTTTGGTGGTTCATTGGAGATGAGAGTCCTACAGACTTTTCTATATGGGCTCTCTTTGAACCACGATTCTCAGATTTCACCCTCTTGAGTAGCTAGGGTTACTAGAGTGAGCCTCCAGTGCCTGGCTCCAGAGATTCTTTGGTCTGGTCTCCCATCCCTTTAGACCCATAGGCTCCATGGTAGCAGGGATATCTGCTTTCACCTTAGCTCCTGGCACCTACAAGGCATCAGCAAACCTGTGCAGAGTGAATGTGTGCATGGGTTTCGAGGTATATGCAGTGTGCATCTTGGGTCCTGGAGACCCAGGGTAGGCAGTGTCTGCATCTCCCCTGAACCTCAGGGAAACCTCTGCTTCACCCACAGACGAGTGTTTCCTCGGGGCCTCCCAGAGGAGTTCGCCCTGGTACTCACCCTCCTGCTGAAGAAGCACACCTACCAGAACACTTGGTACTTGTTTCAAGTGACTGATGCAGCTGGGTACCCACAGGTGAGGCCCTCCCCTCTCACAGCTCTCTGGGGCATCTGGTAGGTGCTGCTGGGGTTGATGAGCCCACTTTCCATCTAAGCTTGTGATTTCTGGGCCCTTCCTGCTTCATCCGAGTAACCACCCTCTAGGTTGTCCTCTGTTCCCCACCAGTGCCCATTCCATTCTTCCCAGCCATACGGCTTCCTGACCCCAGCCAGCTTTCTTCCCTTTCTGGGCCTCAGTTTCTCCTCCTGTGAAATGAGCTTGAGGACCCTTGACTTGACCATGTGGAGACTCTGGAACTCTGAACCTCTCCTGCTGTGTTCCCCAATTCCACACAGATTTCCCTAGAAGTCAACAGCCAAGAGCGGAGTTTGGAGCTCCGGGCACAGGGCCAAGATGGCGACTTTGTGTCCTGCATCTTTCCAGTGCCCCAGCTCTTCGACCTGCGTTGGCACAAGTTGATGCTGAGCGTGGCTGGACGTGTGGCCTCCGTGCATGTGGACTGCACCTCAGCTTCCTCCCAGCCTCTGGGGCCACGGAGACCCACGCGGCCTGTGGGCCATGTGTTTCTGGGGTTGGATGCTGAGCAGGGCAAGCCCGTCTCGGTGAGTCCTCAGTAAGGCTCTGGCCTCTGCCTTTTCACCCCTTAGGAGCCTGTACCTGACCAGGTATGTTCTATGCTCAGAATCTTCCCCTTGCTTCCCACTGCCTTCCAGAAGAGCCTGAACCTGGCATTCAAAGCCCTGCATGATCTGGATCCTTGAGTCCACAGCACCACACTCCCTTTGCATCTCTTCATGCAGCACTGCTCTACTCAGTTCACCCCAGTCTTCCAGCTCACTAACGACTTCACACATCCAGGCCTTTGCCTAAGCTGTTCCCTGTACTTGAAGTGCTTTACCTTGCAAACTCATCTTTCTGTTCCTCTAGGCCTCCTCTCCTGTACACATACTCTCTTTCTTTCTTCTCTTCCTTTCTCTTCCCTTCCCTTCCCTTTTATTTTTTGTTCCAGTACTGGGGCTTGAACTTAGGACCTAGATGTGTCCCTTAGCTTTATCACTCAAGGCTGATGCTCTGCCACTTGAGGCACAGCTCCCTTCTGACTTTTTTGGTGGTTAATTGGAGCTAGGAGTCTCATGGACTTTCCTGCTCCAGCTGACTTTAAACCAGGATCTCAGCCTCCTGAGTAGCGGTGGTCATGGGAGTGAGCCACAGTACCACTTTTATTCCTCTTGTAGTGATAGCCCTATTCTTGATGGTCTCCAGGCAGGACTGGAAGCACCTTGAGGTCAAATCCTGGGGTGAAGCCATCTTTCTGTCTCACTGGAGAGCCATGGGAGGGTCATGATGCTTTGAGTGAAGTGATAAAGTGAAGTGAACTCTGTGTGCCTCTCAGTTTGACCTTCAGCAGGCGCACATCTACTGCGACCCAGAGCTGGTGCTGGAGGAGGGCTGCTGTGAGATCTCACCGGGTGGGGTGAGTGTCCATACAGCTGGTGGTGGTGGAGGGAGGGAGGGCACGGCCTAATGGCTCAGTGAGCTGGAGGTGGGGGTCTGGGAGGAGGAGTGGGTCTCTAGGACTGATCCCTGCCTTTCCCCCACACCGAACAGTGTCCCCTGGAGAGCTCCAAGGCCCGCCGGGATACCCAGAGTAATGAGCTCATTGAGATCAATCCGCAGACAGAGGGGAAGGTCTACACACGCTGCTTCTGCCTGGAGGAGCCTCAGAGCAGCAAGGTGGGTGATGGGACTGGCATGAGGGAGATGGCCCTCCCCCTGAGGGTCACAAAGGACACTGGGTGTCCTGTCTATGTGCATACTGCCCTATAGGATTCCAGGGGGCAAAGAGGCCGCCCACTTGTAGCCCGCCATTGAAGATTGTGCCTGCCTAGCTGAGGCATTTATGAGACTGAGAAGGGCAGAACCAGGAGTATTCCATCTGTCTCGGACAGGGGTGCCTGGGGTCAGGGGCTGGGTCACATGATTCCCTTCAGGCTTCTCTTCAGCCCAGCACCATGGCCAGCTGCCCTGTCCCTTCCCAGGTTCCTTGGGGGTGACAGCAGAGCCCATTTCCTCCCTTAGCCCCGCCCTCTGCCTGGGCAGTGGCCCTGCCCTCTGGGCATCACTCCCAGCCTTTGGCTGCCAGAACACAGGGCTCTATTCATTCACTGCCTGCTTTCTCTGGCATCACATGGTGGGGAAAAGAAGGGGCTCCTGTGGGGGCAGCCTCAGGGGCCTAGGCAGCCCCTTGGTTTCCTGGGAGGTGTCAGATGCCAGGCCGGGGTGGGAGGCTGGGGTCCGTGCATCCCACTCAGATATCCATTCCAGCATAGACATCAGAATGGCCTCTTCTCAGTGGTTTCTTCTTGTTCTGTCTGCCCAGGTGGATGCACAGCTAACAGGGAGAGCCAACCAGAAGGCAGAAAGGAGAGCACAGGTAGAAAAAGGAGCCTGCGATGCCCTCTGTCTGCCCTGTGTGCCCTCTGCAAAACCCCTCTGAGAAGATACTCCACTCCCACTGTCTTCCTGCCTGGATGAGCTCAGGCTGTGTGGTACCAGCTCTGAGAAGCAGACAGACGGGGGCAGGACACACATAGTACCTGGCTCTCTCTCTCCCTCTCTTTCTCTCTCTCTCTCTCCCTCTCCCTCACTCTCTCACTCTCTCCCTCCCTCCCCCCCCCCCCCCCTCTCTCTCTCTCTCTCTCTCTCTCTCTCTCTGTGATGGTACTGAGGTTTGAACTCAGGGTCTTGCGCTTACTAGATGAACACCTTACCTCTTGAGTCCTTTTTATGTTAGCTGTTAATTTAGATACACTCTCATGCTTTTTGGCCCAGAGCTGGTCTGGGTTGGGACTGCAGTCTTTCTACTTATGCCTTCTGCATAGCTAGAATTACAAACATGACCCACCATACCCAGTGTATTTATTGAGAGGAGGTCTCACTAACTTTTTTTTCCCTGAATCTTGATCCTCCCAATCTCCACCACCCTCCTAGCTGGAATTATAGGCATAAGCTACCATGCCTAGTCTATCCAGAATTCTCTATAGAGCCTGCTTATACTGGTTCTTGGGCACAGTGTGGGAGCAATGCTTGATCCCCTGAATTCCCTACCTCCTCTCATGCCCCTTTCTTTCCAGGTCCATAGAGAAACAGCTGCCGATGAGGTGAGCCTCCTGTCTGTGTTGGCCAAAGGGCTCTGGGGAGGGCATGTTAGCACAAATCCTTTTTGCTAGGCTTTTGGGGGCACAGAGACTGGACACAGGGTGATGATGACAACACAATTCCCAGCATTCCTTGATGCTGGATGCTGGGTCCTGCCTGCCTACCGCCTCTCCCTGAGTGCTGGGCTAGAAGCCGGAAGACACTCCTGCTGGGCTGGCAGTAAATGGCTATGGGTGCCCTGGTGAAAGCCACGGCCTTGACCAGGGAACCCCTACATTCTGGTCTTCAGTCTTGCCTGGTATGCTGTGTAACCCAGAGCCAATACTGTTCCTCTCTGGGTTCGAGTTTCCTCATCTGGAAATGGCTGTGGGTCTGGGTTGGTGGGAGATGAAGGGAGCTTGCTTTTTTTCCAGCTCCTAGTTCCATGCTCTTCTTAAATTGCACCTAAGACACACACCATGCTCTTTGGGCTTACGCGTGTGTGCATATGTATGTATGAATATGCACGTGCGTATGCATGTGTGAATAGATGTGTATGTGCACATGTATGTGCATGAGTATGTGCATGCATGCGTGTGTGTGTGTGTGTGTGTGTGTGTGTGTGTGTGTGTTGGGCAGGGAGAAGGTGAAGAGCTGATCTGAGAGGCTCAGAATTGACCTCTAGGCCTGTTCCTCCCTTTCAGTGTCCTCCTTGTGCTTATGGCGCCCAGAGGAGCAATGTGAGTGATGGGAGGGTTTGTAGGGTGCTGTGGGTGAGGGCTGGGAGTGGGCATTGTGGGAGTTGGCTGGGGCTTGCTGGTTGAGGACAAGGGGTCTTTATGTGTTTCTACATCTCTCCCTGCCCATCTCCCAGAGCTGAACTGGGCCCCCCCACCCCCACATCTGCCAAATCCAGACTGCATGGATGACCACATCCACCCTGCAGACTGGGTCTGGGAGGGCCTGGGCATGGGGTGGTGGCCGGCCAGCGGGGTCAGGCCCTTGGCTGCTGATCCCAGCTCTGAGCTCCCCACCGGGTCTCAGGCCTGCTCTGCTTGGAAGGTTTCACAGGTCACCTTGCAGGCCCTGGGCAGGGGTCGGGAGGGGAGGCTCAGGGTCACCAGCCAGCATGTCCCCAAACCACACATAGCTTAAGGCTTGAGAAGATGTCTCCCTTCTCTCTTAGTAGCTGCCCCTAGCAGGACACATTGCCTTCTGGGGGATTGAAAGGACAAGGGAGCGGGGCTGGGTGAGCTCAGCTGGTACCCAACTGTCCCTTGTCCTCAGGCAGCATGAGTCACTGCTTTCTTTCCCATGGCCTGACTTTCTGACAAGCCATAATGATCCTTCAAGGGCACAACTCCAGCTTGCTTCAGCTCCAAGCCCCCTGACTTTTGGGGACATCAATAAATGCCCTCATTGCTGCTTGTTCCTCTTCTGACCCATCCCCCAACAAAATCTGGGCAGGCCCATGGTCCCCAGATGTGCAGAGGTTACCATGGCAACTTGGCAGCCATGTTATCCTAGCAACTGGGGGTGGGGCTAGCCAAAGCCTGGCAGGTTAGAGGCAGCAGACTAGACCCCTCTGTAGAGGTGAGAGTCAGCATGTTGGTTGACCTGGTAGGAAGAGCCTAGGCTGGGTTCAGGCTGTTGGACCTGCCATCAAGCTGTGTGAAGCTAGACGTATTGCTCATCCTCTTTGGCCCTGTGATTTCTTCTCTTTTCCTGAAGTATATAATCTCTCCTATGTTCCCTCAGGTCACACTTGGTCCCTCTGAACCCCAGGTGAGTTTCAGAAGAGAACGAGACCCTCCTTCCTTTTGGGGTAGCCCCAGCCCATCCCATAGCATGTGGTCCTAAGCTTGTATATCATGATGCCTGAGATTTGTGGATGTGGAGTCATCAAGTGTATATTCTGGAGAAGTTCTGCAAAGGGGTCCAGAGCTCCCTTTTCGTGAAGTCCTACTGTGCACCAGGCCCTGGGCCAGGCATACATACATCACTCACCCTTCTGATCCTCCAAAATACTCATCCTGTAGAGGGAATGCTCTCATTTGGATTAAACTGAGGCCCAGTTGTGTCCATTCTGTGACTGTGTCGGAGCGATGTGAGTGTGTGTGTGGGGGCACATGTACCCCTATTGGCCCATAGAACTTGTCAGCAGTAGGCAACACCTGTGGATGCGAGCCGGGCTTGGATGGAATGTGACTCTCAGAGCTACTTCCATGGAGGGCTGACAGCATTCTAGACTCTGTCCCCAACACCTTACCTAAAGCACCTCTGGACAGGTGCTGACATGAACCCCATTTTATTGGTGAGGAAACTGAGGCTTAGAGAGGTGACATGACTTTTCCTGAGTCACCTGCTGGCAAGTACAAATCTTGGTCTCAGGAAGCTTGGCTCTCAGCCATCCTGGTTTGTGTCACTTGTGTGCCTTGGATGGGCTGAGTGTGAGCTAGTGTGCGTGTGTGTGTGGGGAAAAGGATGGCCTCTGCGTGAGGTTTGCCAAATACAGCTGGGAGGGGCGAGTGGTTGATGCATATGAAATCCATATGCTGAGTGTGTGGTGGGGGTTGGGAGGGGAGCATATGTGTGTGTGTGTGTGTGTGTGTCTGTGTGTGTGTCTGTGTCTGTGTGGTGGACAATAGGTGGAGATCTGGGGTGTGAATCACTTCCTAGAGGTTCCTCATGCCCCCTTGGGTCCCAGCTTCCATCTTGTTTTTGCCCGCAGGGAGGGAAAGGAGAGCGAGGCCTGCCTGGCCCATCAGGTCCCAAGGGAGAGAAGGGAGCGCGGGTAAGTGCCCCAGCCATGCCCACTGTAAGACCCCTCCCAGCTGGCCGTGGGGCTGGGGTGGAATGTGGACTACCTCCCATCGTTTTGGTGGGAAGTCTGGCCCCCTGAGGGTAAAGCAGAGTCCTCACAGGGGTTAGTGTGTGGAAGCTTCTGGACCTCCACACAGCAGGTCCAGCCCCCAGCCCTAACCCTTGTTCCTTACCCACAGGGCAATGACTGTGTTCGAATCTCCCAGGATGCTCCACTTCAGGTAAGACCTGCAGGAGAGGCCTGCTTCAGGGTGAAGATGGGGCCAGCCTTGGGCTCCTCTCAACATCTTTTATTTCCTTGTTCAGTGTGCAGAAGGCCCCAAAGGAGAGAAGGGAGAGGCAGGGGGCGTGGTGAGTGAGACCAGGAAAAGTGCAAGGGTGGTGCAGGGGTCTAGGCCCAGCCTCATTCTCCTTCCTCATCCCTTCTTTTGTGTTCTCTCCTCATCTCAGGGACCATCAGGACTCCCAGGCTCAACAGGCCAAAAGGTAAACAGCTGGATTTGAAGTGGGTGGTGATAGGGTCCACAGGTCCCATAGGCCTGTGAAGGGTCTATGCAAGGGAGGGGTCCGAAGCCTCCCTGGGCAATGGTGTCAGGGGGCAGAGTGGCCAAATCCTCCCCCATTCCTCCCAGATACTTGCCTTGTCCAAACACACTCACCATGTCTAGTGAGTGGCCTGGTTCAGAAGTTCTTCTTGTTGTCTGCCCTCTTGTGAAAGCTGTATCATGAGAAGCAAGGATCTGGAAGATAGCTCCCCTGTTTCTTCCAGTTGTTTCCCTCCATGAGTCACTTTGCCTCTTCCTTTCCCAGGGCCAGAAAGGCGAGAAGGGTGATGGAGGCCTCAAGGGCTTGCCGGGAAAGCCGGGCCGAGATGTAAGGTGCTGGGGACCCTTCTCCCCAGCCCCCAGCCCAGGACCTTGAATGCTGGGATTTATCCAGAGAATTTAGCTCCGTCCTCTTGCCCAGGGAGGGGAGCAACTGTGTCTTAGCACAGCCAGGGTGAGGGGAGGGGGCTGCAGAGAAAGGCTTGAACCCAGGAGTCTGGACATTTGATGGCCTTAGGGTCCTGGGATGTGGTCTGGTTTGGGACAGGGACAGTGAAGTGGGAAAAGGGGGACATAACTGTCCCAGTGGGGCAGAGGCCAGGCCTCTGGTCACCCCTATCCATTGTGCCCTTCCCCACAGGGCAGGCCTGGAGAGATCTGCGTCATTGGGCCCAAAGGGCAGAAAGTGAGTTGTGGATCTGGAGGTGGGGGTATGGTGAGGCCGGGGTGGCTGCACCGTGACATCCACTTTTGTCTGTGTCAGGGAGACCCTGGCTTTGTGGGGCCTGAAGGACTGGCAGGAGAGCCTGGGCCCCCTGGTCTCCCCGGGCCTCCCGGAATAGGATTACCTGGGACCCCAGTGAGTACCCTTGCTGTCCTTTCCTGAGACCCCCTCTCCCAGCCAGAGCTGGGGGTGGGATGAGGCCCAGCCCCAGGAGCCTGTGGAGGAGGAGGGTCAGAGCCCCTGCAAAACTTCCAGTCCTTCCATCCACCCTGTTCTGCCTGCAGGGAGAGCCAGGTGGCCCGCCAGGACCTAAGGGAGACAAGGTAAGCACAGGCTAGAGTGGGCATGTGTGGGAGCCCGCTGGTTGGAGGGATGAGGTGCAGGAGGGGAGGTGTAGCTGAGGAGGCTCAGAGATGGGGGGGGGGGTGAGGGGCTTTGGATAGCTGAACAGAAAGCCCTTGAACATGTCTGCCTGTTTGCCTGCCTATCTGTTATACAAATACAGGCTAGATGTGGAGATGGACAGGCACCAGATAGGGAAGATTTACTGAGGAAGTGGGCCAGAGGTGGGAGGTTTGGCAGAGGTGGCCCTGCTGTCCAGAGATGGGGTGAGGAAGGGCCTTGTAGGCTGAGGTCACACTGGCTGTAGTCTCCCTCATAAACCTTTCTCTGACCACAGGGCAGCTCTGGGATTCCAGGAAAGGAAGGCCCTGGCGGGAAGCCTGTGAGTAACCCGTAGGGGAAGACAGGGAGGGGGGTGTTGAGGTCACTGCCCACTATTTTGGGGTCTGCAGTCCAAGGGCTTTCAGGGGGAAAAGGGCTAGGTGTTATATCCCTCCCTTGGAACATGGGTCCTTCTGCCCTGGCACTAATGCCCTGTTTCTTCTCCAACAGGGGAAGCCAGGGGTACCAGGGACAAAGGGAGAGAAGGTGAGTCCCAGGTCTGGTTGTTCTGGGGTGGGGACAGAAGGCCCTCTGTGCAGATACAGAATAAGGTCCTGGCATTTGGGGCCTGGGCCTTCCTTGGGTGACCCTTACCCCTTCTCTAAGTCGTGTGGAATGGGGAGAGGAAGAGCCTGCTTTGGACTTAGAATCTGCTTCTGCATCACACATGGTTTGTGACTGTGGCAGCTCCGTTAGCTTCTCTCTTCTCTCAGTTTTTGTATCTGTCTGTTCCTTTCCGATGGCTGGTGGTGAAGATGCATTTTCCTGATGTCCAGGAATTGCATGGATGAGGAGACTGGCCAGGAAGCCCTAGGGACATTCCTGCTGCCCACTCCGATGGTGGGGACAGAGTGCCAGCCATACACCCAGTGTTTATAGCTCAGATGGGCAGGAGGCTCCCGGCCTTCCCAAGCTCTCAGTCCCACTTGGGGTCTCGTGGTCTCTTCTCCTGCTAGGGTGACCCCTGTGAAGTCTGTCCAACACTGCCTGAAGGGTTCCAGAACTTCGTGGGACTCCCTGGAAAGCCAGGGCCTAAGGGGGAACCGGGTGATCCTGCACCAGCCAGGGTGAGTGCACGGGGGTGGCCTCTGAGGGACACTCCTTACACACACACACACACACACACACACACACACACACACACACACACACACACACACACACACACACCTTACACATATCCTGGGGGTATGATCTTGGAGAAGAATTGGGAAGAGTACTTCTTTCTGACACTGCAGAGGGTCTAGGCAGTAAGGGATCTGAACCATAGAGAATAAGGCTATGCTAGAGTGTCATTCCAAGTCTCCATGGCAACTAGCCAGGGCTGTTTGAGAGGCTTGAGGATGCCTTTTTGGACTAACAGGTGAAACCATCCCTTATTATGAGTGAAGCTGTGCCTAGGCTTGGTGGGCTGGAAGTGAGGTGAGGGAAGGAAGTCAGGTCTGAGTTGGGGTCTTGTGCTTGATGCCCCACCCCACTCCCTCACAGATTCTCTCTTTCAGGAAGGCCTGGGAACTGTTGGACTGAAAGGTGATCGGGTACGTACTGGAACTTTCCATTGGAGTAATTTTTGGAGTAATTTAGTCTGTGTGTGTGTGTGTGTGTGTGTGTGTGTGTGTGTGTGTGTGTGTGTGTGTGTGTGTGTGTGTGTGTGTGTGTGTGTACATGCACGCATGTGTACACACACACATACACACATACCAGTAATAGAGCTTGACCTCTGGGTTTCACGCTCTTGCTTAGTGTTTTTGCTCATGGCTGGCATACTACTGCCATACCTCTACTTCAGGCTTTTTGCTAGTTAATTGGAGATAAGAGTCTTTTTTCCCTTGGAAAATCTTTAAACCTTGGTCCTCATATCTCAGCCTCCTGAGTAGCTCCTTTTTCTTTTCTTTTTTTCTTTTTTAATATGGGTTCATGCCGGGCACTGGTGGCTCACGCCTGTAATCCTAGCTACTTAGGAGACTGAGATTTGAGCATCAAGGTTCAAAGCCAGTCTGGGCAGGAAAATTCGTGAGACTCTTATCTCCAATAAACCACCAGAAAACTGAAAGTGGCGCTGTGGCTCAAGTGATAGAGAGTTAGCCTTGAGCTAAAGAGCTGAGGGACAATGCCCAGGCCCAGAATTCAAGCCCCATGATCAATAACAACTCTCTCTCTCTCTCTCTCTCTCTCTCTCTCTCTCTCTCTCTCTCTCTATCTATCTATCTTATTTGGGTTCATGAACCCTACTACTGGGGTATTGGTCTTGAAACTCCTAATATATGGTCCTAATATATGACCAGAGACTTTGGGGTACCCCAATACCTCTAGTCTTAGCCCACATACTATTTTTCCCTGCAGGGAGATCCTGGCATCCAAGGCCTCAAAGGAGAGAAGGTGAGGTCCCGCTGTGCTCAGGTCATCCCCTCTGCCTACCTGGGAGCCTTTCTGATCACCTCTCTTCCTTCCCCAGGGAGAGCCCTGCCTGTCCTGCAGCATAGCTGTAGGAGCCCAGCATCTTGGACCATCTACAGGGGCCAACGGAGATGTGGGCTCCCCTGGCTTGGGCTTACCTGGCCTTCCAGTGAGTGATCTGCTCTTGCTTCCTGGGCCTTCAGGTTCCTAGTCTCAGGGAAGGGAGCAGAGGCAGGTCCTCTGATTGGATAGTGAGACACTGGGGCCGGGGGGCTTGGAGGGATAGAAGCCATGATACTGTCTTTTTTCCCTCCCATCACTAGGGAAAAGCTGGGGTCCCGGGCCCAAGAGGGCTGAAAGGAGAGAAGGTGAGACCCAGGTTGGATGTGAAAGACACCAGGGCTTCTTGGCAAGGGAGGTGGGGGAGAGGGTGGTAGATGGGGCAGAGATCAGGCTGTAAATTCACAGAGAAATGGTTTCATCAATGTTTTGCCGACTGGAGTCAAAGAATTTATTTCCAAGAGCCTGCATATTCTCCAAGAGAATTCTTTAGCGTTGTATTTTTAATTTAATGATAATCTAAAACGATTAAGCACATTTAAGACTACCTTATAGTAAAATAATATTTAACACTTCTTTTCTGCTTATTATGTGCCAGGCATGGTTCCAAGACTTGCACATGTATTAACTTATTTTATCCTTCCCAAACCTTATGGGGTGGGTACGCCCTGTTATTCCCATTTTGAGGATGAGGAAAAGGAGGCATAGAAAGGCCAAGTGACATTGTCCAAAGCCACATGGGTGTTGGGATTTGAGCCCAGGAAGTCTGGCTCCAGAGTCTATAATCTCCACTGCTCAAGCGGGTCACTCAATTTCGGTGCCCGTGTTAACATTTGTATTTATGATTGCATTAGAGACAAATGACAGCATTGAACTTGTAATGGAGTGTTACTCAAATGAGGGGTTCTGTGCGCACAGGCGAGTGCCCCCAGTGTGAGACACACTGAGCTGCACATGTTCAGGCTCAGTTCTAACTGGCAAGCCGAACTTGGCATTTCTCAAATGAAGCTTTTGCGCCCCGACCCTGCACCTGCTTCCCTTTTTTTTTTCTTTTTTAAATCATCTCAGCAAATGGCATAAACACAGGTCCTCCAAATAAATCTGGGGTCATCTTTGACTTCTCCCCTGCCCAACCCTCTTCCCTCCCATCCATCCCAGTGGCAAGTCCTAATGATCCTGCCAATCACATCTCTCTCCGTTCCTGCTTTCTCTCCCCACCTGCATGGCCAACAGCTTAGTCTCTCACCTGGGTGGCAGCAGCCTCTTCCGGCCTGCCTGCGGCCCTTCACCAGCCCATTTATCATCCAGTAGCTAATGTGGCTTCATAAAACAGAGCTCAGATTACATTATGCCCTGCTTACAATCCTTCTGGGACTTGACTTTGTGCCACACTCCGGCTGAGCCTCACCCTGGAGGACCTTCCTTTCCAGATTCATCTGTTTCTCTCTCTCTCTCTCTCTCTCTCTCTCTGTCTCTCCTCTCCCTCTTTTTCCCTCTCTCTCCCTCCCCCTTCCTCCCCCTCCTACTTTTCTATGCTGTGGTCATCCTGGCTCTCCTTCTGCTCTGGATAGGACACAATAGTTCTCATCTCCTGGACGCTACCCAGGTGGCTGCCACTAGAAACATCTAGAACCTCTTCCCTCCCCAGTGTCCACTTAGGCCTTCACTGGCTGGCCTCGCTCTGATCATTCTCATTGTAGTCCTCACTGCTCTGGCTACCTTGTCTAAAGTGGGCTCTCTTCTTCTGTCTAGCTGCCTTCTTTCCTTCATCACTCATCACCATTTAAGGGGTCTTTTTTTTTTTTTTTTTTGCCAGTACTGTGTATCAACTTGGGGCCTGAGCACTGTGTATCAACTTGGGGCCTGAGCACTGTGTATCAACTTGGGGCCTGAGCACTGTCCCTTAGCTTTTTTTGTTCAAGACTAGCACTCTACCACTTGAACCATAGCTCCACTTCTGGCGTTTTGATGGTTAACTGGAGATAAATGTCTCATAAATTTTCCTGCCCAGGCTGGCTTCAAGCTATAATCATTAGATCTCAGCCTCCTGAGTAACTAGGGCTACAGGCACGAGCCACCTGCACCTTGCTACCATTTATAGTTATTATCTAAAAAGGTCTAGTGTGCAAGCACTATGAAGCATTTATATCTGTGCCGTTCATATCCCATCCCTAGTGCCCAGGGCATACAATGAATGACTGTTGGATGAATGAATGAATGATCTCCGTGTGCTGGGGTGGAGCAGGGATGCTATGAATTAAAGCTGAGAGTAGAAACAGTCTAACCTGAAGCTGGCCACAGAGTCCCATTGGGGACCTTGTGGAAGTCCCTCTTTCTTTCTGAGCCTCAGTTTCCCTGGCCAGGTAATAAGAGGACAGTCTAAACACACTAAAAGGGCTTTTTTTTTGGTGGTACTGGGGTTTGAACTCAGGGCCTTGTGCTAAGACTAGGAAAGCACTCTACCACATGAACCACAGCTCCAGCCCTTTTGGCTTCAGTTACTTTTCAGATAGGGTCTTGCAGGTCAAAGCTGACCTAGATTTTGATCCTCTTATGTAGCTGGGATTATAGAGACAAAGCATCATACCTAGATTATTGGTGGAAATAGGGTCTTGTTAAATTTTGTTTCCTGGTCTGACCTTATAGGAAGATCTTCCGATCTCTGCCTCTTGAGTAGCCGGGATCCCAGGCATGAACAAGTACTCCTAGCCCAAGGGGCTGCTTTTATAGTTTGGGATGTGGGCTTGCTCTGGCACCTCTGCCCCCAGCCCCACTTTGACTGTATGTTATGTGCTTGGCCCACAGGGTAATTTCGGGGAGGCAGGTCCAGCTGGCAGCCCGGTAAGCATGCTTTGGATGGCAGAAGCTTGGGAAGGTGAAGATTGCCCACTAGTGGGAAACAGATAGGCCTGGGCTGTGCCTCTGCATGGCCCAGGCTGTGCTGGACATCACATATGGCTTCTTCTCATGTAGGGGCCACCAGGGCAAGTAGGACCAGCAGGCATCAAAGGGGCAAAGGTGAGTCTGGGCATCCCCCACATACAGTGGGGGGCACACCTCTGAGTCAGACCCTCTTGGTAGGTCTTACTGCATTGTAGACTGCCTGTAGGGTGAAGTCCAACTCCCTGGCATGGCATCACAACCAGGCCCCAATCTTCACTCCTCTGTACCCCTACAGTCTCTCCTGAGAGACCCCTTGATGGGCTATGTCAGATCTAGCTGCAACCCAAGGTCTCCTTAGATCCCTTGGAGCCCCCGAACTCACTGTCCTTGCTCGGTAGGGGGAGCCTTGTGAGCCATGCTCAGCCCTGTCCAGGACTCAGGATGGAGACAGTCATGTGGTGCACTTGCCCGGGCCAGTGGGAGAGAAGGGGGAGCCTGGACCTCCAGGCTTTGGCCTGCCTGGAAAGCAGGTGAGTCCTTGGCCTCTGGAGATGGAAGGGTCCTGAGCAAAGGGCCAATTGGAGTGTGTGGAGAGGTCTATGTGTCTGACACCAGTGGGAGAGCCCTGATGCCTCCGCCCTTTCCCCGTGACGTCATGGCGGAGCAGGCAGAGGCACACTGGCTTCAGACCAGACAGACTTGGTTCTAATCCCAGCTCGGTATTTTAGTAAATTATTTTTGTGTCTTTATCTCTACGTCTTGTTCATGGGCTGTGATAAAGCTTAGTCATGATGTGTGTGCAGAGCACTGAACAGCAAACGATAGACCTCAGAAGTCTCCGGGCTGTGGGTATCACTGTTACTGCTTTAACACTGACAGACAGCACCAGCCTCAAGAGCAGTGCACTGAGCCACGGGCTGCTTCCCATATACTAGTTTATCTACTCTCACCAGAACCCTCTAGGGCATGAGCCCACCCTATTTTATCATCCCCATCTGACAGATAGAGAAACTGAGGCATTATGGCCAGATGAGATAATTTGCCAGGTCTCACCATCTGGCTCAAGTCTCTTCACTCACAAGAGGGCAAAGATTGTTATCTGTTAGTTTTCTGTAGCATCCCTGGGGGCAGGTGGGGGGTGGGGGATAACAGAGGGGTGGGTGCTCAAGGGTGTCCAGTTTGAGTGAATGGGTACTGGGAGTATGTTCTTCTCAGGGCAAGGCCGGAGAGCGTGGACTGAAGGGACAGAAGGTAAGAGAACCTCTATGGGCATGTGAGTGAGTGGGCTCCCGCTCCTCTAGAATGCCACCTGGCCTCCTCGTCCTGATTGGCTTGTACCTGTTTCCCCCTCACTCCCCCCCCCCCCCTTTCCCAGTCCTCAGCCCTTGTGAGAGCTCTAGGGATGGCCTGCCCCAAGCTGGGTCATCCGTACTCTCCTTGAACTCTACTCCTTACAGGGTGATGCCGGGAGTCCTGGAGACCCTGGAACCCCAGGCACCACGGGGCAGCCTGGGCTGTCAGGAGAGCCTGGTATTCGGGGCCCCATGGGGCCTAAAGGAGAAAAGGTCAGTCAGGAGGGAGGATGTTTATTATACAGGCAAAAAGAAAGCAGGCAGAGAGCTTCCAAGGGGAAGGATTGCAGTGACTGTCCTCCCCCCCCCCCCCCCCCCCCCGCAGCTCCTCTTTGCAGCTTGGCCTGTCAGGGGCCTGTTTTGACTCCCCAGACTAGTGGGAGGGCAGAAGAAGGAGGTGTTCTCTGTAACACCTCCTGACTTGGCTACCAGCCCTGGCTCACTGGCTCCTTGATGCATCCATTTCTGACCATAGGGTGATGGCTGCACCGCCTGTCCCAACCTGCAGGGGGCGCTGACCGACATGGCTGGACTACCTGGGAAGCCAGGCCCCAAAGGAGAGCAAGGTCCTGAAGGTGTGGGCCGGCCTGGCAAACCTGTAAGTTCCAGTTCTCTGCCCTCTGGTCCCTCCCTGCCTGGGTTTCGCCTTCTCTACCTCCTGCCCTTCCTTTCCCCCTGTACAGAGTTCATGGCTCCTTTGTGTGCTTTTTAGGGACAGCCTGGTCTCCCGGGAGTTCAAGGTCCTCCAGGGCTGAAGGGCACACAGGTGTGTGAGCAGGGCCTGGGAGCACCCATCTGTGGGTACACATCAGTGAGGGTGGGAGGCACATGGGGCTGGGGCCTGGAGTGGGGAATGGAGGCAGGTACGGAGCCGGGGAAACAGAGATGGCTGAGGCTGAGGGGGCCAAGGAGGTTGAGGAGGAGCTGGGAGCAAGGCGAAGGGCAGGTTGTGAATCTTGAGCTAGGGATTGTTCTTCTGCCTCTTCAGGGAGAGCCAGGGCCTCCAGGAAGGGGAGCGCAGGGGCCACAGGTGAGTCTTCTGCCTTACTTTTGCTTTCCTACTCACTTTCCAAACTACATGGCACCCGCCCCCCCCCCCCCCACCCCCCGCCTCCTACCATGCCCCTGCGCACAGTTCTGACAATGTGTTGTTAACTTAGCAGTCCTGGGTTTGGCTTTTTTTTGGATCCAGTCGTGGGGCCTGAACTCTGGGCCTGGGCGCTGTCCCTCAGCTCTTCAGCTCAAGGCTAGCGCTCTACCACTTGAGTCACAGCGCCACTTCCGGCTTTTTTCTTTTTGCTTATGTGGTGCTGAGGAATCGAACCCAGGGCCTCAGGCATGCAAGGCAAGCGCTCTACCTCTGAGCCACCTTCCCAGCCCCCTGGGTTTGGCTTTGATCCTCATCTCACTGACCCTCCCTCAGGATATTCTTGGGGAGCGTCCCTGAGTTTGGGCTGGCCGATGCCTCACCCCAAACCAGTGGGAGTGGGGCCAGGGGGTTGGCTGTGGCTCCTGTGCCTCACTCAGCTCTCTCTGACTCGCAGGGGGAGCCTGGAGTGCAGGGCTTGCCTGGAGTTCAGGTATGTATGTGTGACTTGGCCTTGGCAGCAGCTGGCAGGGGAAAGAGTCAGTCTAGGATACGGGATTAACTGTGCTTTCATCTGCAGGGACCTCCAGGGCCTCAGGGACCACCTGGCCGCACAGGAGAGAAGGGTGCTCAGGTGAGCCTCTGCCTCCATAGGCATCAGGCCTTCAAGGATGTTGTTTTGTTTTGGTAGCTCTGTGGTTTGAAACCAGGGCTTCATGCTTTCTAGACAAGTGCTATATCACTGAGGCATGCCTCCACCCCCCCCCCTTTTTTTTTCCTTGGTTAGTTTGAGACAGGGTCTTGCTTTTTGCCTGGGCCCCCCCCCCCAGATGATGATCCTCCTATTTTATGCTTCCCAGAGTAGCTGGGATGGCAGGCATGTGCCACCACACCCAGCTTCTTCTACACAGATGGAGTCTCATGAACTCCCCACCCTTTTAACCTCCCAAGGCTGGCCTGGAACCTCAATGTTCCTCTGTACTGGAATGACAGCGGTGTGCTACTGTACCCAGCTATTCATGGAAAAGAGATCTTGCAAACTTTTGCCCAGGCTACCCTGGCACCACAATCCTCCTGATTTCTGCCAGGTTAGCCCGGCAGGGTAGTCCCCATGCCTGGCTCCTGTAGGGCTTTTCAGTGTCCTGCAACTTACATATGAGACACAGGGCTCAGTGTTACCTGTCAGCAGCCTGTCTGAAACCCTGAGAGATGTGCGTCACTGCTGGATAGTGCTGACTTCCAAGTCTTACCCCATAACTCTGGTGCCCTTTCCCCAGGGACCTCCGGGAATGAAAGGAGCCACTGGACCCATGGGACCTACTGGTGCCAGCATCTCTGGGCCTCCGGTAAGAGTCTTGTCTGTGTTGGGGATGCTGCTAGGAAAAGAACACAGCACTGACCTTGTCTGTCCCAGCATCCTGGAGTGGAGGAGAGAAGTCTCCACCAGCCAGCCTCAAGGAAGGAAGAGGCACGGGTGGCAGGGGAGGCCCAGAGCCCTTAAATGAGAACACAGGTCAATGCCATTTTTTTTCCTTCTCTAATCCTCACCATCACTTCCAGTACTGGGCTTGAATTCAGGTCTTCGCACTCTTGCTTGGCTTTTTTTACTTATGGCTGACACTTCATCACTTGAACCATGCTTCTGCCCTCAGCTTCTTTTTTTGCTGGTTAATTGGAGATAAGAGTCTCTCAGATTTATCAGCCCTGCCTGGCTTCAAGCATTGATTTTCAAGTCTCAGCCTCCTGAGTCACCAGGATAAGAGGTGTGAGCCATGAGCAACTGGCTTCTCCTCTATTCTTTTGAAAACCTTTCTTTTTATAACTTTTCTTTTTAGTTAGCATGTAACAATACACATTTATACAGTACAGTGTGATATTTCAATGCATGTATACAATAAGTACTGATCAAATGGGGGTGATTAGCATTTCTGCTTTCTCATCTCTTCTTTGTGTTCAGAGCCTTCAGCTCTAGTCACCCACTGAGCTACAGAGAGCTAGATGGTCCTCCCACCTAAACGTGATGCAGTACGTGATTCCACTGCCCCTCTGACTCTTCTGTCCGGTAGTTAGCCCATGCCATTCTCTTTCCCTTGGAGATGGACTTTTAGCTTTTACAGAGAAAGAACACAGTCCCCATTGTTTTTATTTATTTTTATTTTTTTTGCACAGTGGCCTTGCTGAGGGACCATGCTGAACACACAGAAACCAGCTTCATCCTTACAACAACCGGGTCAGGGAACTGCTATTATTATCTTTTCACAGATGAGGAAACTAAAGGCTAGAAATTGAGGGGTGGAGCCAAAGGCTTGAAGCCTGTCTCCCATGCTCCCCACCCCTTCAAACCTGGGACCCTCTGAGCGCCTTGTTAAACCAGTGCAGCAGGCCCCAAACATCCACTAGTGACAGGAAGACGTGGCCCAAGACAATATTCCTTCAGGCCCAAGGCTGGGCTATTGAGCAAATTGCATAGATTAAGTAATAATAAGTGCATTTTCTCGTTTTAGTCATCAAAGACCTGTCTAATACCCAGCTTCTACACCACATGAACCCACTCGAATTTTACAAGATGATATAATTTTAGCCTAAATCAAAGAAATGCTACCTTTCAGCCAGCCTGTGCCATGCTGGGTCGTGGGCAAGTGTATAATTTTCCTTGCGCTTTTGGTCATGTTGAAAATAGCCCAGTAAATGTATCCTCACCTATCTTTGTGGATCCCCCTTGTGAGAAATTTTTGTCCCCATTTTGGGAACCACAGATAGGTTTCTCCTGAGAGAGGGGATACCAAAGCCCAGAGGGGGCCAGGGATTTGCCCAGGGCCCTGCTGAGTCAGTCTGCATTGTCCAACAGAGTAGGATTATCCCAGGGACAGCCAGGATAAAGGCAGAGGTGAGGGGCTGGTGCTAGAGATCACTTGGGTCCCAGATACAAAAGTGGAGGGTCTCCCAGAAAGCAGCTGTCCCCAGCCTGCTGTGTGCCAGGCTGGCATCTGTGGGTCTGAGCAGATTCACAACTTTTCTGTAGCTGTTCCACCTCCCAAGAGCGCCCCACTTTCACTAGTGTGTGACTTCAGGCAAATAACAGCATTGCAAAGGCTCCAATTCCTCGTTGGTAAAATAGGAGCTGAAATTCCTTCTTCCTGGCTGGGTGTGGGAGGTGACTTTTGTGATAGACCGAATGGGTAGCACACATCAAAGGGAAAGAAGGGAGAGCAGGGACTTTGGGCACAACAGATCTCGATAGAGCTGTGCTGTAATTGAGATTTCTTGATGTCTGGGACTGGGACTGGGACTTGGACTCAGGGCCTCATGCTTTTGCTTGGCTTGCTTGCTGGCTTGTGGCTGGCGCTCTACCTCTTGAGCCATGCCTCTAGCCTTTAGAGATGGAATCTTGAAGCCTTTTCTGCTGGGAGTGGCTTTGTATCACCATCCTCCAGGTTTTAGCCTCCTGAGTGGTTTGGATTACAGGTATAAACTACCAGTGCTGGACTTCAATCTTCAGTTTCCTCGGCTGTAAACTGAAACCCTGTCCTGCCTTGGCTGAAAGTGGGGACTCTACTCAGTTCTCTGATGGGTTCTTGGTCCAGTGTGGTGCCCAAGCAACCTGGTCTTGCTCCCCGTCCTCCTCTCAGCACCTCTCCTCTAGAGGTGGGCACCGATGGACCGAACACTGCTTCTGTTTGTCTCTGAGGCAGGCCTGACGGCTGGCTGCTGTCCAGCCTCACCCACCAACTCTGAGCTCTCTCTCATCAGGGCCAAGATGGGCCGCAAGGACAGACTGGACTTCCAGGAGCCAGAGGGACTCCAGTGAGTATGGTGCCCTGGGCGGCAGGAAGCTGGGACTGGTCCTGGATCTCCACCCCCATTGACTTACCTCCCAGTATTTCTTCTCTGCAGGGTGAAAAGGGATCTCGAGGAGAGAAGGTATGTCTCAAGGTCCTGTGGTCATACCACTACCAGGGGAACCTGTGTGTAGGAGGATGGGGAAGGGGGGTGAGTGGGGAGAAGGGAGAACATTCCATTTCCTTGCTATTTACCAGCGCCCTGATTCCAGGGGCCTCAAGACTCCCAGCTTCACTTGGCTGCTGGCTCAGGGCTCAGCCAAGATCTCAGGAGACCAGAGAACTCCAGAGGCCACCTGAGCAGGCTGGATGAGAGGACAAGGGCAGAGGGATGAGGGACTGGGACAGAGGGTGCAGAACAGGCAGGGCCCAGAGGACCAGGGGACCCACGGCCAGAACTGAACACTTACTGAGGCAGACCCAGAGCTCTGCACATGAGCCTGCGCAGTCAGTGCTCTTTGTTTTTTTTTGTTTTTGTTTTTTCAGTTTTGGGGCTTGAACTCAGGGCCTAGGCATTGTCCCTGAACTCTTTTGCTCAAGGCTAGCACTGTTACCACTTTGAGCCACAGCGCCCCTTCCAGTTTTCTGGTGGTTAAGAGATAAGAGTCTCAGGGACGTTCCTGCCTGGGCTGGCTTGGAACTACGATCCTCAGGTCTTAGCCTCCTGAGTAGCTAGGATTACAAGCGGGAACTACTATTTCTGTGGTTTCTGTCCCCATTTTAACAGTAGAGGCGGATCCGGTGTTTTAACCCTGGCCTGTACCGCTAGATCCTGTGCTACCTCATCATGATGTGGTTTCTGGGCCCTTCCCTTCCCCACCCTCGCCCTCTCTAAACGAGGCTTTTGTTTTTCCAGGGAGAGCCAGGGGAGTGCTCCTGCCCATCCCGAGGGGACCCAATCTTCTCCGGCATGCCGGTAAGTGATGCCAAGGGCTCTGCCCACTGGAGGAGAGGCATGGCCTCTGGCCTGGCCTGCTACCAGTGTGCGCTGGCCCCTGCGGGGCTTTGCGCCTCAGCCAGCCGCCTCCTCATGCAGCCCTGCGCTTGGTGTCGACGTTGCCTATAACCTCTCCCCTTCTTTTGCGACCCCCACTCCCACCCAGGGTGCTCCGGGACTTTGGATGGGCAGCTCCTCCCAGCCGGGCCCGCAGGTGTGTGTGGCTTGTCTCCTCTGGCTCTACTCTTGTCCGCAGCGCCCGCGGCTTGTCCACCCCACACCGCTGCCCTCAGCAAAGCGGCGGAGCCCTTTCCTGGCTCTGATCTCGTCTTCTCTCCCTAGGGTCCCCCGGGTGTCCCTGGACCTCCAGGACCCCCTGGAATGCCGGGGCTGCAGGTAAGTGGGGGAGAGGTGACTGCGGAATTGGGGTGACAGGGCTCAGACCATCATGGTGACTGCTCCACCCTAGACCCCATGTGCACTGCATTAACTCCTCCACTCACACCTGGGTGTCTCCCTCTCTGGCCCAGGCCAGCTGGCCCAGGCCTGCACACCCCCAGACCTTTCTGGAAGCATGCCCTGTTGTAGGCTAGCCCAGATACCCCACCAGTATGTGCCAAGCCCAGGCCCCGGGGAGAATCTGGGTCACAACCAAGTCCCTGGCACTCATAGAGAGCACCCCAAGTTTGAACAGCACTCAGCATTCGTTTGTTCATGCAACACACATCTTTGCTTGTCTATTTTCCAACACGGGTTTAGGTGGCGATTCAGCAGCAAACAAACAAACAAATCAAATCTCTGCCATCTTGATGCTTAGATTCTAGGAGGAGAGACAGGCAATAAGCATGATGAATAAAACAAAGTCTGTTAGAATGTGGCATGTGGTAAGGTGACAGCAAAGCAGGACAGAGGGATAAGAAATGGGAATGGGGCAGGAAGGGTATCTGGGAAAAGTGCTGAAAAGAATGTGATACTTGAACTCAGACTAAGCCTGAACTGAGGTAAGCCTGAGGAGGGGAGAAGGCATTCCCGGCAGGGGAAGCAGCACGCGCACGCAAAGGCCTGGAGGTGGCAGTGAGACATGCCTGGATGTACCAGATGTGTTTGAGGGATAGCAAGGCGGCCAGAGCTAGTGAGGGGCTAGTGTGAGGGACTGGGATCTCTTTAGCATTTTGCTTAGACTTGCCATTTCAAAGTCAGGAAGCCTTGAGTTGAAACCCAGCTCTGGCTGTGTGAGTCCTAGCTGTGTGATGCAGGGCAAGTTACTCAAACCCTCTGTGTCTCAGTTGGTCAACCTCATAAGGAGATAATTACAGCACCTACCTCATAGGACTTTTATGGGCATTACATTAATTAATCCACAGGATGGGGGTTGTGTGTGTGTGGCTAGCCTTTATGAGGCCCTGTTCCATCCCCATTACCACAAAAAAAAAAAAGAGAGAAAATGTTCACACAGGTGAAGTGTATTAGAACTCTTCCTGCCATGTAACAAAGTGCTCAGGCAAAATCACCCATCATTCCTGTAATGATGGCTACTGTAAGTATTTTATGTCCAGTCTCTTATTCATTTGAGCCTTACATTAGCTCCAGGAAGAAAGCAGTGTTACCACTAACTCACCACTGGGAAAGCTGAAGCTCTGAGGGTTTGAGCATTCTGTCCAAGGTCCCCCAAGCCCAGATTCCAGCCACCCTGGACTAGGGCTTCCCTGGGAAGCTCTCTCTCCCCCAGCCCCTACTCTCCCGGTTCCATACTGCTGCCTTTAGGCCAGCCCCCAGTGGTTTGCAAAGCAGGAACCAGAGCCCACGCAGCCTCACCCTTGCTTCCCAGGCAGTGCCAGGGTACAGCAATCCATCTGCAGGGAACGCACAGTGTCTCTTCGCAGTGGCTCATTAACTGTGGGTGCTGGCGTAGTGTGCACCCTGCCAGGCCGTGCTGGGCAATGGGGCAGAGAGGAGTGACTGCTGAGTCTCCTTCCCCCCCCCCCTCGCCCCCATCTGGTCTTGTTGCTGGAGACCAAGCTGAGGCACCACTAAGGCACACTCCCCACTCCCCCCGCCCCCACCAGTCAGGGTGCAAGAGGGCCACCCTGCTCTCCCATGTGCAGAAGCAGGCTCAGCAGCAGAGCCCCTTCCTGCCCCCCAGACTACATAATCCCAGTGTCTGGCTAATGCATTCGTCCTAATCCAGTTCTTAGATGAGAAAATGGAGGCAAAGTAGTGAAGAAATGTGCCCAAAGCTGTGTAGCTCATAGGGAGCCGAGCTCAGGCTGCCTTCTTCACATGGCACATTTAGTTCTGGAAGGGCAGGAAAAGCAATCAATCTCAGACTTGAGCTAATACACCAGGATTGCAGAAGGGATCACAGTGAAGGATGATGATAATAATGACAATAGTAATAAAAAAAAAAACCACACACCTGTAATCTTAGGTACTCAGGAGGCTGAAATCTGAGGATCCTGGCTCAAAACCAACCCAGACAGAAAAATCCAAGAGACTCTTCAATTATCCAGCAGAAAAAATCTGGAAGCTATGGCTCAAGTAGTAGAGTGTCAGCCTTGAACCAAAAAGCCACGCAAGCACGCTGTGCTCAAGCTCCATTACCAACACAAAAAAACCTACAATGTCCAAGGCCCTTCCCCTTGGCCAGGCACTATTCTAAGCCCTCATGGCACTGGGGGAAGGGCTACAAAGCACTGGGTAGTTGCTGACTCAGGCCTGAACCAAGCCTGGTAACAGCCCGCCTTAGATAGGCAGGACTACTGGGAGCAGGTGTGTGTGTTCCAGACTGGGAGCTAGATCTGAGCCGGCCAAAGAAGCCCTGTGCAGGGGAGGAGCAGGCTGAGCAGCAGAGCATTCACTCAACACATATTTACTGGCCACCTCCTCCTTGTCTAGCGCTAGGGATTCAGAAGGAAGCATCCTCCCTGCTGGGCGGTGGAGTGACTAATAAGCAAATGTGCCTTGAGATTCTGCCAGGGGAGCAAGAAGAGGCTGCTCTGAGCGCCCTACGGCCTCTCCACAAACCACCCCTGTCTTACAGATCAGGGAGCTGAGGGCCAGAGTTGGGTTTATTTTCCTCCACGTAAACCTGCTAAAAGTTAGGCGGGTGATCAGGATTTGTACTGGGAAGGCTGATTGGCCAGCATCGGTGCTGGAGGGTATCTTGTGCAGGATGTATGGCGTGGAAAGGGCACATAGGAGAAAGCTTGGAAGCCGTGGCCCTCAGTGCATCTCAGCCCATGCCCTAGTTGACTTGTGATCTTTGGCAAGTTACATATCGGCTTCAAGTTCTATTATTATTACTACTACTACTACTATTATTATTTAAATATTTATAGAAAGGAGTGACCCTTTACGAATTTTATTAATTTTACAAGTAAAATTCATCTTGATCGGTGTCCCCCTTTTCCTCATTCTCCCCCATCCCTCCCAACTTTGTTTTGTTTCAAAGATGGAGATACCTGTGATACTGGTTACATGAGAAAATAATTTTTTTTTTTTTGTCTGTTGTGGGGCTTGAACTCTGGGCGTGGGCGCTGTCCCTCAGCTCTTCAGCTCAAGGCGAGTGCTCTACCACTTGAGCTACAGCCCACTTCTGGTTTTCTGGTGGTTTATTGGAGATAGGAGTCTCACGGTCTCTCCTGCCCGGGCTGGCTTTGAACCGCGATCCTCAGATCTCAGCCTCCTGAGTAGCTAGGATTACAGGCGTGAGCCACCAGTGCCTGGCGAGAAAATAAATTGTTTTAAGTGACTTAGGGAAGACAATGAGAAACAGCAGTTAGAAGACCCTAACCCCTGCCACGTGGGGGATATGGTCCTTGTGGGTTGGGGGGAGGGCGTGGTTACTCTTCTGGGGCTCCTAAGCTTCCTCTCCTCCCCAAACTGTCTGGAAACTTCCAAGCTAAGAATAGATGGCAGTCATGTGCTGGCCAGGACACTGAGCTCTGCAGGGAGAGGGGAAGCGGCAGTAGGGTGGGGAGGAGAGAGGGGGACACCCCCGGGGCTCATTCCTGTCTCTTCTTGGTCACAGGGAGTGCCTGGAAACAATGGTTTGCCAGGACAGCCTGGGCTCACAGCAGAATTGGTAGGTGCCAGCCAGGACTCACTGGCCACTGCCCGCCCACCCCCACCCCCCGCCCCGCCAGTTTTCCCCTACCCTTCCCAGGCTGAGCTGGCGTGCAGCCCCTTGAGCTGTGGTGGTGGTGGGGTCCTCTTCTCTCTTCCTCCTAAGGCTGGAAGAAACCCCAGCGGCATCATGATCCTCAAGGTTGTGACTGGTCATCTGAGTCCTTTGCCTCCCCTTTCCCCCGTCCCCCCATCCCCTGCCAGAGCCCACATGTCTGTCTGTCTGCCTGTCTCTTGCAGGGCTCCTTACCTATCGAGCAGCACCTCATTAAGGTAAGAGGGTTCTGGTGGGGGGGGCAGGGAGGCACTGGGGGGGTGTCTTCTGAGGGCGGCCCTCATAGCAAGCGTTCAGCATTTCCTGGAGGACAGAGGATGAGCTTGCTGGTTCCAAGCAAGGACCTGGCCTATAGCACACCCCAGGCAACACTCGCTGAGTGAGGGTTTATGGTGGACCCACCCAGTGGATGCTGGTGCAGAGCAGCCGGCCAGGAGGCCCCATAGTACCTGGGTCAGCCAGGACAGCCAGCAGCTTCCAAAGTGAATCCAGAGGGTGAGAGTCATGCAAGGATGGATTCAGTGATGGCTGGGTGGTCCGTGCAAAAAGCAAGGCGGAGGAAGGATTTGAGAAGCAATCCTAATGCTAGCCTGTGTCAGGGCCCACGGACATGCTGAAGACCCACCAGAAGGGAACCAAGGTTCACCCCTATCCCGTCCGCAGTGACCTCTAGAGATGAGAATATGGCCAGCCATTCCCAAAGGTGGCTTCAGGTTCCTGGATTCCCCCCTGCCCTCTCCGCCCCAGCTCAGCATCCTCAGGGGACCCCTCCCACCCCTGGGCCTCCAGAGCCTCCCTGAGCTCGTCCTGAACTGGTTAGCATCCTGGACATCTCACCACCCCAGCGGGCCTCGGTCAGGCAGAGCTTGGGGCCTGCCCACCTGCGTGCATTCAGAACAACAGATGTCTCCAGAAGCAGCTGGAGGAAAGACTGGGCTCAGCTGGCAGCAGCCTCATGTTGGGTCACCGTGGGGTTCCAGGCAGTGGGACCCCTACTTCTCCCCTGATGGATTTCTGTCAAGCCTGAGTCCCCCCACATTCTGCCCAGGACAATGACTCAGTGCCTCCAAACTTGGGATCTGACCCTGCTTCTCCTAACTTGGCTTTATAAGCATGTTGCTCTTCAAAGGACCCCAAAGGGAAACTGAACACAGAGAGCAGAAGGGGTCAGATGGCGGCCCGAGGGACTGGCCACTGCCAAGTCCACAGTCCAGAGGAGGCTGCCTGCTTTTTTGCAGGTTAATTGGAGATAAGAATCTT